TGAAATAACCTAGCTGAGTGTGAAGATCTTTTGGATGGAACTGGACAAACAACATGAATCAACAAAAATGTGAAGAAAAGGGGGATTCAAAAAAAGAAAAAAAGAAAAAACCTAAAACTAAAAATTATTATGCAGTTCAGACTGTAAAATGCTTAACTGAACTTCGGAAAGTTCCATATAGGGCACCAGCACCACTGGATGCGAAATTGACTCCATAAGTATATTGCTTATTGCCTTGTAAATATGGTGGAAGAAATAGTAAATCTGCATATGCAGCTGCAAGAAAGCAAAAAGGCTCAGCTTGATTTATCATCATATTTTCTTTAAAAAGGAAGAAAATATGTACATTTTACACTGTCTTACCAACAAAATCAGAAATTAGGCGCCCATCTGAATACCTTCCTGTGGAATAATTGAAGAAGGTTTCCCCGTAGGGGTAGAAATTAGCCTTAGCAGTAGTATTGAAGTAGTTATTGTTTCCAGAATCCAAATATGAATCTCCAAAAATGAAGAGCGGAACATGGTCTTCACCCGGACAATAGCAAATGATGAGGTTGAGGAAACTTGTGAACAATAGCAAGAGACAGATGTGAAGCCTTAGACTTATCGCCATATCGATGCTACTGGCTTATAGCTTGTGACATAATCCTTAGGTTGGTTATTGATTTATAGGAGTTCCCATTCTGTGCTGTACATGCATCAAAAATTGGTGAAATGTAATATCAACACATGAAGTGTTAGGATTATTTTAAGGGGAAAAAAAAACTAATGCGACAAGGCAAGAGCAATATTAAATGATAAGTAATGGACATTCGTGAAAGCATTCGAGCAAACGGAGCGAAAATTTGATTAAATGACCGGTTCCACGTCTGTGAAATCAGTTTTGATTTGGCTCTTTAAATTGCTCCTTTCAATTACTGATCCCTTACACTATTATATATACAGCATCTGTACATAGTCCGAAAAACCAAGTGTTATTCCTTCTTGTTACTTATCACAGAGCATTCTTTCATACATTTATAGGTAATGCAGATTGATAGTGTCTTTGTAGGGTTGTTAATTACATTTTGGGGATGACTTGCTTGTGAGAGTATTCTTGCTCTATCAAACAACTAGCTAGAGCTCTCAGAAAAAGGTGAATCTGATTAATTCCGTATCCCAACCCATAATTTGGTTATGTTCTCTTTGTTCATATTTCTTATATTTTCATAAATTTAAATCAATGATAATTTTACTAATCAGTATTATCGTTGTTTCTGTAGCTAAGGAATAATATTGAGATGATGCAGATTCGGAGATGGTGGCTCAAGGAACAACATGAAACCCTGTATTGCGACAATGAGAATGTTGCATAAACTTCCAGCTGGTCCAATGGATTACTTCTTGAACTAGTGATTAAAGTGTCCGTGTGTGCCGTTAACACATAGAAGGAAAGGGACAGCAACTAACAATTACCTACAAGAAAAGAAAATCATCGAATCAAAATCAAATCTCTTGACAAATATTATAAGAAAGAAGATATATATAGAATACTCAGAGACCTCTGAAACTACACTTGCAAGTTGCAAAGCAGCAAAGTTAATTTGGGAACGGCTTTATTTGTTTCTACTGTTCTTAATTACTTGGCAGTCAAGAAACCATAACATGACGTTATCCTAAAGTTTCAAGCAAGGTTCAGTTAGGCACGTGCGGTTTTTTTTTTTTTTTGGGTTGGATGTATAGTTAAAATGTCTTTAAGTCACTTTTTGCATATTTTGACATTAATTGTTTTAAGTAATACTAATAAAAAAAACTTTTCTCAAATAATTTTAACAGTGCAACCTTCATCAACTTTGTATAGAAAATTAATTTTTTACATAATGATTTCAATACTTAAACCTTAAAGCACATGTATAAAAAGGTTTTTCTAACTGTTAGTTTCAAGAGTTAAACTTTTAACTAGACATACAAAAATGGTTTTTTAAACTATACCATAGGATGCATTTATCACATATTTTTTATATTAATTAACATGAAAAAATTAAAACCTCATATTTGTTTTAATAATTGTCTAGTAAAATTTATTTAAGTGACAACATAGTGAAAATTAATGTCAACTTTTTGATATTTGTTTATGTAAATTAATATAAAAATACAATAAATACACATTTGAACCATTCTTTAAAAGCTAAGATTAGAAAAATCTCCTATAAAATTACTAGATCATCATGTGCGGCTATTATTATGGTTACCGTTCAATTGGTTAAAGTTATTAAAAATTATTAAAATTTTATTTTAA